CATGAAAAACAAACTTTTTATGATTCTACAAAAAAAAAACATATAAAGAAAAATAAGGGCACAGAATTCCAAACAATAAACATTCACATTCATTCAGACACGACTTCCCCGTGCCCCCACATCCACCCCCCACCAGGCTGACACTATCCAAGGGTTCAGAGTCATATTAACTTGCTTATGATTTTGTTGGTTGCTGAGCGCCCCAACCCGTTGTTATATTGTGTAATGAACAGGCTGACGCAGTTAAAACTTAAAGGCATCCCATTTTTTCTTGGTTTAACATATATTTTTCCTTCCATTCCCATAGTGGTTTTACAGCGACCAACTTGCCTTATTACAGCTGTAACACTACATAAGGTCAGATTCTGGAGGAGCTCTGGGGCTCTATGTGAGTGATTGTCATGGTTTTCAAAAGGTTTATCACAGGTCGGAAAAATGTATTATGTACCAGTGAAAGGCTGCCGAGGCAGGGGGTCTGTCAGACTGTGGTTGACTGATCAGGCCACTGTTCATTCTGCAACTTTCTTATTATAGGCCCGAGCCCAAGGGGAAAGGGCCTAATTGCTTTCCAACGATTTATGCCTGGCGGAAGCTGTCGTTGTAATCTGTCACTAAGTCACAATCCTTGTGACTTGTGATTGTGACCTGCACGCGACGGGCTACGTGCCCCAGAGCATCTGATAAAATCCGGGCGGAGGCACGGGATAGGCCTTGCTCCTGCTGAAGTACACATGTGAATTGATTGGAGGTCCTATTAAAAGGGGCGGTTCTTTCAACTGATCTTGACGGACGAATGTCGGGCAAAGCTCGGACTTTCGTGCTCGGGCTTTCTGTCCCCCAAGCCCTGACGGCTCACCGTGGACTCAGACACTGACAAACCAGTGCCGGCGGCAACTGATATGGCTTGCTCCCTGCCTTGTAGTACCACAGGTTTGTAATGAATCGGGTCCTTATGGGGGGTGGGTGACCTCTGTTGATGATGAACCCAATAGTTGCGTTCGCCGCGTTCGTTTTTCTATTCGCTTTAAAACGAGCTGATCATATGTATATAGGTTACTATGGAAACCTATATGTTTTTGCTCGTAAGTTTAAAAAAAAAAAAATCATTGGTTTGGTTTGGTTTGGTTTATTAGGCCCGAGTTCCCCACGTGTGGGTAAGGGCCTATTGCTTTTCCAACGAGTAATGCTGCCTGTGGCGAAGAGATTGTTGAACAGTTCAAATTACTCGTTGAATACTGTAGCGGAGGATAGGTGACCTGCACGCGACGGCAGTGCCCAAAGCCATTGATAAATCCGTGCCGGAGGCACGGATGGCTTTGTTCTGCTGTAGTACACAGTGAAATGAATTGAAGTCCTCTTAAAGGGGGGTCCTTGAACTTGTCTACGGCATTGTCCCCCAGCCTACGGGCGCTTGTGCCCAGACACTGGACAAAACAGTGCCCGGAGGACACTGAATGGCTTTGCTCCTGCTTAGTACATGGGATAATGAATGGGGACCTAAGGGGGGGGTGGGTGACTCTTTGATGGCGCGGTGATTGACGAGCGCCGACGCGCCTCGTCAATCACCGTGAACCAATAGTTGCGTTCGTGCCTGTTGTTCGCTTCTAAATACGAGTATAATTTGTATTATAGGTTACTATGGAAACCTATATTTGTTTTTGCTCGAGTTTAAAAAAAAATTCCTTGGTTTGGTTTGGTTTGGTTAGGTTTCTTTCTTTCTTTCATTTTTCTTCTGCGCTTTGAGACCTTAATTTGACCCCTTGAATCATTGATGAAAAGTTTGTGAAATTTTGTCCCCAAAATCAGACACGTCGCGACAATTTCTTTTTTTTTGGTGTTTATTTTTATGGGACAAAAAAATGCTGGACCCCCGTACCAGCGCCCCCTACCACAAAGTTCCGTTTACATTGCGCCTATGGTGGCGGGGTCGGAGGTCAAGTTCTGCTTTGTGTCGAGCACGAAAACTCGGTACACATGTTCCTCAATTCAAGACATGAAAAAAAGATTATTTATGGCCTCGCCCCTGACAAACCGGCGAGCTCATTAATTTCAACTGAAAAATGAAAATAGAAAAATTGATATTTTTCACACGTCGGCTGGAAAATTATCTCCCTCCTCAGGCCGTTTTTCACCGATTGTCTCAAAATCGCTCCACATTGTTTCTAACCCATGGTCCCATCTATTATTTGATATGAATTTGGCTCAGTTAAACGTTGGCCGAGTGACATTTTTTACCAATTTTTGACAAAGTAAATTTGCTCCCGTTTGTACAAAAAACCGGATCTTGCCCACACCAATTTCTATCCATTGTTCAGCTCCGGATAGTTCATTTGAAAGTGGAATATTGAAAATGGCTAATGAGCGCCCCCTACAGACTGTCAACGTTTTTGCATGGGCCTATAAAATTCTTGTTTTCTCAAAATGTTTGAAATTCTCGCACATAATTCTGTTTTGTCATCTGGATTTCAAACAAGTCAATGACAAACATATGATTATTTTTTTTTTTTTTTACCTGTTGCCGTGGAACGACCAACACTCCCTGTTGTGTCTATGAGAAAATTGTTAAATTCTGAAAAGTACACTCGCTCCTTCCAAACATCAAACCAGGCAGGCCGGTTCCAGTGATCTAATTGGTTTGTAATATCATTCCAATGGTCTCTAACACATGGAACATCAATAGTTGCATATCGCAGTTTTAATTAGTCCAAACGGTCTGAGCGTGACAGACCCCCCAAAGTGTGGTCCTTTTCATAGAGAGGTGTGACGTTCCCTATTATCCTATGGAGATGTGTGGACACACTCACAGATTGTAATGTGCAAACTGGAGCACATTCACAAACTCGGATTTGACTAACTTGACTCGGTTGTTCAACTCTGGGCCTAGGTCACATGACAGTGTGAACATTGACATTGGACCATTATCGCCCCCCTAGAGGCTGAGTGAAGGTTTACATGCGGATACAAGTATTTAGGTTTTTATGTATTGTTTGATCTCATATTTTGACCCACAAACAAACACAAAAACTACACACATACTTTGCCCAGACAAGCTTTTTTCAGGGCATAAAGTGTATTAGTTTGGTGTTCTTTGGTATAACACTAAAAAATTATTGTTGGGGTGGCTGTTGTACAATCATTAAATGCCACCATTTGCACATACAACGTCCGATTTGCACCAAACTATTGAATGAAATGTTCAACTCTCGGGTTTGAGGAAAACTGATTGTAAATCATGAAATGCAGCATCAGCGCCCTACAGAGTGGATACCAAGATGTTAGATGGATGAGACTGGGGTTTACCGTTTCCATAGAGACACACAATCACTGATCATAGAATTCAAAATGCACCTGTGTCGGCTCCATAGGGGCAGGGGGAAAGTGGCGCTGTCAGCGCCACCTCCTTTGCGCGGTGCGGCGTAGGGCGTTAGATGCCGCTTGCGGCTTTAATTTATTTTTTCTTCTGACTTTGAACCTTACTTGGGACCCCCTGAACATGATGAAAAGTTGTGACAATTTTGCCCATATCTGAAACCGGTGAATTTTTTATTTTTTTTTTGTTTTTTTTTCTGGGACTAAAAAAATGAAGACAGCGCCCCCTACAAAAAGTCAGTTTTACATTGCGCCTATGGCGAGCGGGGTCGGAGGTTCAAGTTTGGCGTTTAGAGCCACGAAATTCGGTAACCACATGTTCTCAAGTCAAGACATGAAAATCAAGTTATATGGCTCGCCCCCGACAAACAGGGAGCTCATTAATGTCCATGGGAAATGGAAAAAAATGGAAAAAGTGATATTTTTCAAACATCATCCATTCCATCCATTTTCTACCCTTTAATCCATTTTGGATCAGGGGGGTGGCTAGTCAGAGATGCCAGCCCAAGTCTCATTGCACCAGCCCCTCACTGACCCTCTGCAGGTGGTGAGTCCACAGGAGACGGTGCTCTCCTGTGCGGCCTTGATCTACAGTGGGGGTTTTTTGTGGCAACAGTAGGGTTAAGGGTCTTGCCCAGGACACAACGCAGCCAGTCATCTGTGGAGTCGGTGGAGAAGGTTGTCGCAGTTGGGAATTGAACCCACGACCTTCAAGGCTTAAGGCCAATGCTCTACCAATCTGAGCTACAGTCGCCCTATTTTTCACACATGGTTGGAAATTATCTCCTATTTCTAGGCCGTTTCACGATATAGTCTTTCAAAAATCGCTCCTCATGGTCTAAACACATGTACATCACTTAGTTGTAATATAGAATTTGGAATCAGTTAAACGTTCGTACCGAGCAGCGGTAGCGGCAACTGTGACCTTTTTTTTCATTTTTTGACAAAAGTAAATTTGCTCCCGTTTGCCCCAAACAACAGCCGGTATTAGACCACCAAAAATTTTTATCCCATTGTTACAGCACCAGGGTTCTAGTTCCATGAAAAGAGGAAATACTAACTTCGGCTTTTAGCTCCCCTACAGCCCTTGTTCAATTTTTCACCATTAACAAAAATAACATTTGATAAAATACCCACTCAGAATTACACAATAATCCCCACACATACTTAAAATTTAATTCTTTCATCCACCACCACTAACATCACAACACTCTTCATCAAATATACCATAATCCCCTTTTCTCTTCCCACCCACCATCCCCATTAATTTATTCACTATTCCAACATCCAAAACTCTAATACACTTACCACATCTCCACACCACACCATCCCCCATCCACTTCCTAATACCCACAAAATTTCTCCATCGCCACCACATGATCACACCACCATTCCCCACCCCACTAATCCACACTCAACTCCAACTAACCCCCATTACATTCTATCCCTCCACCCCCCCCCCCTATATTACAAAAAACCCCCTCATATATCCACCCCCATAACACCCCCCATCTACCATACAATACCCCCCCCCCCCCCACCCCCCCTCAAAAAATAAAACCCCCTACACCCCCCCAAAACCCCCCCACATCACAACCCCCCAACCCCCAATCCCCACATAAAACCCACATTCACAAACCCCCCACCAACTCAACCCACCCCCCCCCAAAACCCCCCCCCCACACCCACCAACCCACACCCATCACCCAAATAACCCCCAAACAAACAAAAAACAAACCCCACAACACCCCCACACCCCCCCCCACCCCCCCCACCCACCCCCCCCCCCCCCACCCCCCCCCCCCCACCACCACCACACACACACAACAACACCCCACACACCCCCAAAACCCCCCCCCACACCCCCCAACCCCCCCCCCCCCCCCACAACACACCAACCCCCCCAAACCCACCCCCCCCCCTGCAGAAAACATAAATACATTTATCCCCATGGTAAACACTTTAATCAGCCTGTATGGGGGCGGCATAATGGGCCAATGTTATTGTTCACACAGTCATGTGACCTAGGCCCAGTAGTGAACAACAGAGTCAAGTTTAGTGATTATCAGAGTTTGTAATGTGCTCTGTTTACACACACAATCTGTGAGTGTGTCCATCCAGTCTTCAGTGGATAACATGGGAACTTCACACCTCGTTTGAAAATACACCACACTTTGGGGATGTCTGTTCCACGCGTGCATACCGTTTGGACTATTCAAATTCTATATGCAACTATTGTTGGTCCTGTGTGCAGACGATGTGGAGCGATTTTAGACTAATTTAGTGAAACGGGGCCGATGGTGGTTTGATGTTTGAGCGAAGTGTACTTTTCAAAAGATTTAATGGATTTTGCCTAGCAAGCAGGGGATGTGTTGGCTCGTCGCCACGGCAACAGGTAAAAATAATCATTTGATTGTCATTGACATTTTGAATCAGACTACAAAACAGAATTAGGTGCCAAAATTTCAAACATTTTGACAAAACTAAATTTTAATAAAGTCCATGTAAAACTTTAACAATGGTCGGTAGGGGGCGGCTAAATAAGCAATTTCAATATTTCACTTTCAAATGCCTAGACCCTGGAGCTGAACAATGGATATAAAAATTTTGTGCAAATCGGCTTTGTTTGTGCCAACGGGAGCAATTTAACTTTTGTCAAAAAATGAAAAAAAAAGGTCACATTTTGCCGCTCCCCGCTGCTCGGACAAACGTTTAAACTGATCCAAATTCTATATTCACTAATTGTTGGTTACATGTGTTTTAGACCATGTGGAGCGGATTTTGAGACAATAAGCGGTGGTTGAAAACGGCCTAGGGAGGAGATAATTTTTCCAACCAGATTGTTTGAAAAAAAGGGCGACAGTAGCTCAGTTGAGAGCATTGGCCTGTAAGGGCCTGAAGGTCGGGGGTTCATTCCCACCTCTACACCTTCTCCACCGATACTCCCACTGATGACTGCTGTCGTTGAGTGCTCTTGGGCAATACACTTACGCCTACTTTGCCACAAAAGCCCCCACTGTAAGATCAAAGGCCGCTCAGGAGAGCAGCCGTCCTCCTGTGGACGCAACCACCTGCAGGGGTCTGTGAGGGGTCTGGTGCTTATGAGACTTGCGGTGGCATCTCTGACGCCACCCCCCTGATCCACGATAGAAATGATTAAAGGGTTAGAAAAATGGATGGATGGCATGGATGTTTGAAAAATATCACTTTTCATTTTCCATTTCCATGAAATAATGGCCTCCCCTGTTTGTCGGGGGGCGGAGCCCATACATAACTTTTTTTTTCATGTCTTGACTTCAGGAAATGGTATCCGAATTGTGTGGCTCGATCGACAACTTGACCTCCGACCCGCTCCCATAGGCGGCATGTAAACTGACTTTTGTAGGGGGCGGCAGTCTGTCATTTTTTTTAAGGTCCCATAAAAATAAACTAAAAAAAATATAAAAATTTCACGGTTCTGAATTCTTGGGCAAAATTTCACTACGTTTTCTCGCAATGTTCAGGGGGTCACAAGGTAAGGTTCCAAAGTGCAGAAGAAAAAAATAAAATTCAAGCCGCATAGCGGCATCTAACGGCCCTCGCCGCACGCCGCGCAAAGGACCTTCCGCGGTGGCGCTGACGCGCCACTTTCCCTGCCCTGCCAGATGGAGCGACACTGTGCATTTTGAATTCTTATGATCCGTGATTGTGTGTCTCTAGTTGAAACGGTAAACCCCAGGTTCTCATTCTAACTCTTGTATCACTTGATTGGGGGGCGCTGATGCTGCATTTCCATGATTTTACAGTTCAGTTGTACTAACCGTGCGGTTGAACCATCAATTCAAATTTTTGTAGCAAATCGAAATACTTTATTTCTGGACTTTGTATGTGACAACATGGTGGCATTTAAGTTGTACAACAGCTCCCTACAATTAATTTTTTTAGGTGTTATACACCAAAGAACCACCAAATAAATACATTTATGCCTGAAAAAATAATCTTGTGGCAAAGTTTGGTTGAGGTTTGTGTTGTTATGTGGGCAAACTATGAGAACAAACAAACATAAAACCTAAATACGTGTATCCGCATGTAAACCTTCACTCCGCCTCTAGGGGGCGATTAATGGGCCAATGTTCATTTGTTCACACTGTCAATGTGACCTAGGCCCCGGAGTTGAACAACCGAGTCAAGTTTAGTGCACATCCGAGTTTGTGAATGTGCTCCAGTTTTGCACATACAATCTGTGTGTGTGTCCACACAGTCTCCATTGGATAATATTGGGAATCACACCTCTCTATGAAAATGACCACACTTTGGGGGGCTGTCACGCTCAAGACCGTTTGACTAAATTAAATCTGATTTGCCAACTATGATGTCTCCATTGTGTTGAGACCATGTGGACTGATTTTTCAAAACAACTTAGTGATAACGGGGCCGCAGGCTGGTTTGATGTTTGAGCGAGGTTGTACTTTTCCCAGAGATTTAATCAAATTTTCTCATAGACAACAGACAGGGGAGTGCTTTGTCGTTGCCACGGCACAGGGTAAAAAATTAACATCTTGTTGTCATTGTCTTTTTGATCCAGATGCCAACACAGAATTATGTGCAAAATTTAAAACATTTTGTGAAAACTAAATTTTATTAGGCCCTATGCAAAACGTTGACATGGTCTGTAGGGGCGTCATTAGCCATTTCAAATTTTCCACCTTTCAATTGACTAGACCTGGAGCTGAACAATGGAAGAAAATTGGTGCAAACCGGTTGGGTTTGTTACAAACGGAGCAAATTTACTTTTGTCAAAATTGGGAAAAAAATGTCACTCGGACATACAGTTTAACTGATCCTAAATTCTATATTCAATAATAGACTGGGACAGGGGTTTTAGACCATGTGTATGCGATTTTGAGACAATTCGGTGGAAACCGCCGAAGGAGGAGATAATTACCAAGCGAAGTTGTGAAAAATATCAATTTTTCATTTTTCATTTCCGTTGAATTAATGATGCTCCTGTTTGTCGGGGGCGGGAAGCCATAATAACTTTTTTTTTCATGTCTTGACTGCGAGGAACATGCGTGTCCCGAGTTTCGTTGGCTCTACGACAAACTTGACCTCCGACCCGCTCCATAGGAGCCAATGAAAACGGAAGTTTGTGGGGGCGCTGTTCGGGCATTTTTTTTGGCCCATAAAAATAAACACCAAAAAATAAATGTTTTCGCCCCGTTGTTCGTGCTAGTGCGGCGGCGTTTGGGCCGTTTCGGTGCCGTTCTTGAATTTTGGCAAAATATCACAACTTTTCATCAATATTAGGGGGTCAAATTAAGGTTCAAAGCGCAGAAGAAACAAAGAAAGAAAGAAAGAACACCAAACCAAACCCAAACCAAAAAAGGAATTTTTTTTTTTAACTTCGAGCAAAAAACAATATAGGTTTCGCATCGTAACCTTAATACAAATTATACGTCGTTTTAAATGGCGAAACAACGAGGCAAACGCACTATTGGCGTTCTACCGGTGATTGACGAGCGCGTCGGCGCTCTGTCCAATCACCTCGCCTCATGAGGGCACCCAACCCCTTAGGCCCCTTTCATTACACAGTGTCCTAACAGCAGGAGCAAAGCCATTCAGTGCCTCCGGCACTGTGTTTGTCAGTGTCTGGGCAGCGCCGTCGGGCTTGGGGTTACGAATGTCCGTAAGACAGTTGGAAGGAACCCCCCTTTAATAGGACTTCAATCCATTTTCACTGTGTACTTCAGCTGGAACAATTCCTTTCCGTGCCTCGGCACGGATTTATCAAGGCTTGGGCACGTGCCGGTCGGCGTGCAGGTACACAATCTCCCGCGACAGGTTTTCATACGAGTATTTGACTGTTCAACCAATCTCTTGCCCCAGGCATTACTCGATGGAAAAGCAATGGCTCCCTTACCCCGGTTGGGGCTCGGGCCTAATAACCAAACCAAACCAACCAAGGATTTTTTTTTTTTAAATCTGTAGAGCAAAAAACAAATTATAGGTTTCCTGTAACCTATAATACAAATGAGTACGTCGTTTTAATCGAAACGACGTATGCGAACGCACTATTAGGGTTCATCTCATCAATTGAGGTCCACCCACGCCCCCCCATAGGACTATTCATTACACGAGTACTACTGCGGAGCAAAGCCATTCAGTGCCTCGGCACTGTTTTGGCATTGTTGGTCACGTGCGTCGGGCTTGGGGGACAAAAGCCCGAGCACGAATGTCCCGGGCTTAGCCCGGACGTTCGTCCGTAAGACAGTTGAAAGAACCCCCTTTAATCGGACTCAATCATTTCACTGTGGTATCTACAGCACGGAGCAAAGCCATTCCGAGCTCCGGCAGATTTATCAGTGCTTGGGCACGTGCCGGTCGGTCGCAGGTCACAATCACAAAGTCACAAGATTGTGACCTTATGACCGGTTAAACGACAGCTTCGCCCAGGATTATCTTGGATAGCAATTGGCCCTTACCCGGTTGTGGCTCGGCGCCTCCTATATAATAATGTTGCAGACAGTCAGTTGTCCTGGATCATCCCCCACAGTCTGACAGACCCTCCTGTTCGCTGGCAGCTTTCACTAGGTTAACATATAATTTCCGACTGTGGATAAACTTTGTAAACAATGGCAATCTCTCACATAGAGCCAGAGCTACCTCCTGAATCTGACTTATTTAGTTGTTCTTCACGCCGTATAGGCAAGTTGGTCGCTGTTAACACATATGGGATGATGAATGGAAAAATAGCATGTTTAAACCAGAGAAAAAAATGGGACTTTAGTTTAACGCTTCAGCCTGTTCATCATAATTTAACACGGTTGGGGCTCTCAGTCTACAACACAATTCATAATCAAAGGTTACTATGACTCTGTAACCCTTGGATAGTGTCAGCTGTGGGGGGGTGATGGGGGGGCTCTGGAAGTGCGGTGCTGAAATGAATTTGGAATGTTACTTTGTTTGGATTCTG